CAACATCCTTTGTTCTGTTTGTCCTCTGGCTCTTGTGGAGGGGGACAGTCCTGTGAGGTGCTCAGAGCTTTCTGCTCCCACTTTAAATCTTGTCAGGTGGACCCAGAAGTGCATTTATTTAACAGCAGTGAGGAGAGGGCACTTGGCACTTTGCAGGATCCCCAGGCCCTAAATTGCTGTTGAGGATTTAGGAGCATGTCTTAACAATGGGCATGACCCTGAGAGGTGCTGAGCAACCTGCAATGTTCATGGACATCAGTGGAGTTGGAGATGGTCAGCCCCTTTTAGGAGGTGGGTCTGTTTATTGTGTCGATAAAATAGGAATTGCCAGACTGGATCAGACCAGTACCCCATATAGTGTGGTGTTCTCTCTCTGATGATGGCTGGTACCTGATGCTTAAAGGTAAGTGCAAGAAGCCCTGTAATAAACAATAATGGCGTCTATCAAGAGAGGAAGTTCCTTCCTGACCTTAGGCAGCTTGTGATTGGTTTATGCCCTGGAGCATGAATGCACATCACTCTGCATGTGGTTCACAGCATGCAAAAGATTGACTGAGATGGAGTCAAGGATTCCTTGTTCCTGTTTCACTACCTTTGCCTTCATCCTTTGTTACCAGTCAGTGCAACATCTCGATCAAAAAACTTCCCTGTGCCCCCAAAAGAATCGATGGCTTTTAAAATACATTTAAAACAACTGTCTGAGCCCTGAGAAGGTTTCCTACAAACAAAATTGGACTATTGGGTCCTGACAAGCTCAGTGCTACTTTGACAGCACTTTAAGGGTTCCCATTGGCACCACAGATGCATCAGATGAACACGCTGTGGGCCAGAATCTCCTTGACTCAGCTCCAAGGAAGTTATTGGAGTCCTGCAGGGGATGCACATGGTCCTTGGTATGTATTTCCAGTCCCTCATGATGGTGCTGTCAGCAGCCTAGCTGCTGTGTGTGCCCTGTGTTCAAATACAGCAAGAGAAGAGCAGGATTTCTGCCAGCCCACACGTGAGAAATTTTATTGAAGAAAACCAAGGCTGATGCAGCAGTCAGCTTCCTCGTAAATCAGACTCCAAAAGATCATCCTTGTTTACAAATACAGGAAAATGACTGACTGGCTAGCTCCAGATCTACAATAAAACAGATTAATTTCTCTCTGATCACATTAGCTTCAGTCCAGCCATCTCCCTGCTCCCAAGACCTCAAGCTGCACTCTGTCCCCAGTCTTTGTGTGAGGTTATCACTGCTGGGAGTAAACAGACTGTGAGTCGGAGCAAAATTACAATGTCTTATTAATAGATGTTGTTATAACTCCTTACACTGCATGCAGCATAAATTCTAACTTGCACAGGATTCTGGAAGCAAGAATTGAAATTAAACCACAATAAATCATGTCAAGTTGTTTTCCACGGCTGTTTGACTACTAGGCAATAAATGGGCTTGGCTACAGCACTTTGATTTTACACTTCACTAGAACTTGGAACACGATTTGACTGTTTTGTGACATCCCAACATTGTGGAATTCCGAACTTTCTGGAGAGACCGGCGTTATCAATTCCTTATACTTAGGAATGTTATGCAAGGGACCTTGACAGGGTTATCCTTGGGTCTAGAAAGCTCTTCTATGGTGTTAGTAGCTCTCTCTCCAATGGTGAGA